GGGGGGGGGGGGGGGGGGGGGGGGGGGGGGGGGGGGGGGGGTGTCTGGGCTTGACAAACTGGCTGGGGGATTCTGGGAGTTGAAGCGCGCCCTTTGCGAAGCGGCCAAGTTTGAGATTAAGTCTCTATCAGCCAGTGGGCTCTACGGTTAAGTGCTCCAGAGACCCAGTTTGGTCTATGGTTAATAAGCCACCAGGCCTGAAAGGGGGAGGCTGCGAGTTCAAGTCCCGCCTTAGGCACGAAAGCTGGCAATCGCCAGGAGATGTGAGTTATAATAATAATAATAATAACAACAACAACAACAATAATAAAGTTGGAAGGGACCTTGGAGGTCATCGAGTCCAACCGCCTGCTCTGGCAGGAAACCCTATACCATTTCGGACAAATGGCTGTCCAGTCTCTTCTTAAAAACTTCCGGTGTTGGAGCATTCACCGCTTCTGGAGGCAGGTGGTTCCACTGGTTAATTGTTCTAACTGTCAGGAAGTTTCTCCTTAGTTCCAGGTTGCTTCTCTCCTTGATGAGTTTCCATCCGTTGTTTCTTGTCCTGCCTTCGGGCCCTTTGGAGAAGAGCTTGACTGCCTCTTCTTTGGGGCAGCCCCTGAGATACTGGAAGGCTGCTCTCATGTCCCCTCTCGTCCTTCTCTTCATTAAACTAGACATATCCCAATTCCAGCAGCCGTTCCTTATATGTTTTAGCCTGCTTTAGGCATGAAAGCCAGCTGGGTGACTTTGGGCTAAGTCCTTCTCAATTTCTCAGCCCTACCCACCTCTGGGGGCTGTTGTGGGGAAATGGGAGAAGGAAAGTGTGTGGGATATAAACAGCCTTCAGTTGTTTATAAACTTTACAAAGGTGGGATAGAGATAAATAAACCTCCCTTTCCATCTCTCTGAGTCTTCTAGAGAACAAGAGGGCCTTTTCCTAATCTCCCAATCCCTGTTAGCTTGAGCAATCATCCAGGTGTGGGACTTTGGAAGCAAATAAACCCACTTTTATTGTGTGGTAAGCCAAGGAATTGATTCCCCAACCTGTTGCCCACCAAATAATAGGGGTGGGGGTCCTCTGTCTCTTCCCAGCAGGCCAAAGCTTTGCTGGAAGGGAGCCCCTCCAGCAGCCAGGTGAATCTGCTCAGCTTTTTCTCTGCCAATTATGGTTAGTTCTGGAAACCAGGTTAAACGCATCATGGGTTAATGCAACGTGGTTAAATACCTTGAAAATAACCTTGAAAATCCAGTAATTGAAAACTCAAGTCACATTTTTAAGAAGTTGGGGGTAAAGATAAGAGCCAGATATGGTAAAATAATAGGAGAAACAACAATGAATGCATCATGGCTTAAGGCAGTGTTTCTCAACCTTGCCAATTTTAAGGCATGTGGACTTCAACTCCCAGAATTCCACAGCCAGCATTGCTGGCTGTGGAATTCTGGGAGTTGAAGTCCACATGCCTTAAAATTGGCAAGGTTGAGAAACACTGGCTTAAGGCAACCTGCATCTTGGTCCTGGTTTTCCTTTTATATTATAAAGGAGAAATGGGATTTAAGGACCATTCATACCACCACGAGCCCTAATTACTGGAAACTCTGGTTCTTTTACTAATATTTGCTTTCCATTTTTAAATTTCCGTTGAGAGTCTTCAGCTCCACATATGCAAATATTTCTTTGGTGAAGTTTCAGATTGAATGTTTGCTTTCAATATGCTTTGTGTTTAAGCAAAGTATTTTTTTTATTAAAAAAATGCTC